ACCAGTGATCGTAACAGGCACCCTGCAAAAAAGGGAATGAACTCAAGCCTTCGGACGGGTTCGTTCATCGATAACGTACTGCTTGTCTTTAAGGATAGCCCAGAATCGAGGAGCGATGGGGTCTATGATTTTCTTGTTCAAGGTCCAGATCGAGTCCCATTCGAGAGAAACAACGGCTTGCGATGGGCCTTGTGCAAGCATGAACTGCGTGATCGCCTCGACAGTCAATCCGCGTCTGCGGATTCCTAAGCGGGCTTGTCAGATTACGATGTCACCTCCAAGACGATATTGCACGAACCTCGGACAGTTGGGAAGCGTGGGTCATCCCATCCATGTACAAGCTTCTGGTCGACGAACCAATGAAGCTTGCGCTTTGAAAGTAGCGTGTAGATGAAGCTCAAACGGCTTCAAATAGGAATCTCAGCATGAAAGGAGGGTTTTTTTACGATTTGTCATTACCTGAAGTCCCAAATGTTGACAGGGCGTATTTCGAGGGCTTCAATCATCCATTGATATTGTGGATTGCGGTCACGATATTCGTTCGTCCTGAGCGCGTGTGTGACCCCCTCGAGGGAATCCACGACTGGACACGCAAAATCGTACGTAGGATATACTTTCCAAGTACCGCTACAATTCGTTGTTAGCAAATGTACACAATGGAAACAGCCGAAACAAACCCCGTGCGATGATGTTCTGTTACATTGCATCTGTAGATCACAGGATCCCGCATCGCTTTGTTCGGGTTGTCGACGCTCATCTTGGCTCGGATGCACCATCGAAGACCCTCTTCAGTGCCGGCCTTCATCTCTGCAAAACGCTTCAAATTGTCCTCAACAGAGTCGTCTCGATGCTTGGAGGCGATCCCTTTCATACGCTCGTCACGCATCTGGAGTTGCTCGGTGTCGTCGGCGTAAGCTTTCCCTGCTTTGATAATCTGCACGGCCAGATTGTACAGGTGCTCGAAGTAGTCCGAGGTGTGTGTCACCTGGTCACCCTGTATCCCAAGAAGACGGAGATCCTCCAAGATTGTTTCTTCAAATTCGGACTGCATAGTAGATTGCTAAGTGAGATTGCTCGTTCTAGACGAATATAAACGACTTGCCTTTTCTTTCGAAGGGTTCGTGTCGTCAAAGCGAATGATCAGCTTTCCCTTGTACATTTTCGCAAAGTACTGGTTCAGCAAAGCTGCTTTGGCATGTCCAATGTGCAGATAACCACTCGGCTCAGGAGGAAATCGGGTAACCACTTTGCCTTCCTCTGCGTTTTGCAGGCCTAGTGCGAAACTGGCTGCAGTTTTATTATTCCGGGCTTTCGAGGATTTGGCCTCCGTGAGACGCAGAAGCGCAGCCTGGGTCGTCTCGAGGCTCTCGATGTGTGAAAACCACCGCTGGAGATGAGGATGTTTGTTATTTTTAAGGAGGCCCACGGTCTTTCCATTGCCTGGGACAATGTGTCAGAAATGAGATGCAGTGGTTGGACGATTGCTACCTTTCAAAGATCCCCACAGTATCCAGTCGGCGGCGGTTATTTCGTGGCCGATAAGATACGTGCGGAAAGTGAGATGATCATCCAGAGAATCGAGGGCTACTATGATCTCGGGCAGAGAGCTGACGTGTGGAAGTGTCTTTGCGAGAGCAAAGAAAGATGGGGCCTTCACGTTGATCGCGTCAACTCGCTGTCCTTTGAGTGCACTGCAAGATCAGTGCTTACTTTCACATTATCCGCAGACAATTCGCCTGCCTTCGCAAGGGCGTGTACGATGTCATCCTCAGATGTAAGTTTAGTTCCATCCAAATCCAAGGTGATGCTTGATACAGTCTCGTCGAAATCTAGCGTGGCCTTCTGTGTATAACTGGCGATACCAATTGCTGCGTAGGGAAATGGTGATATCTTTGAGGAAAGGGTGAGTATCCCCGCCATTTTCCAGGATCTTGATAGTGGAGCTCAAATGCGAGCGTTCTGGTGTGCCTCCGTCGTATCAGGTGAGTAGATATGCGGTAGAAGTGAATCAAGTGACAGCTTGAGAGGAGTCACGAAATCTGAGCAAGGCTGATCGTCGGAATCAGGCGGCCGATGATACTTAGTCAAAAGAAAAACTTTGAGATGTGACTCGACCACTGCTTTTCTCCACTTGCCATCATGCCTATGCTGTGGGTTTTTAGGCAGCTTTCATATGTGACTTCGCTGAATGGACCTTAGTGCAGACCCTTCAATAAAGTACAAGCCGTACACCCCCTTGCAACTGACCGATCGACAATGGCCGTCCAAAGTCAGCACCAAGCCTCCCATCTGGCTGTCCACAGACCTTCGGGATGGAAACCAAGCGCTCGCAAACCCCATGACTATCCCTCAAAAGACCACTTTCTTCCGTACGCTCCTGAAGTGTGGGTTGAAGGAAATTGAGATCGCCTACCCTGCTGCGAGTGATACCGACTTTGCGTTCGTGCGGGGCCTGATCGAGAATGGCGAGGTTCCCGATGATGTCTGGTTGCAGGTTAGCTCGAGCAAATACACGATCTTAGTGCGAAATACTGAAAGCATATCGAGCATAGGTGCTTACCCCCGCCCGGGAAGACTTAATCAAACGCACAATCGAATCTCTGGCCGGTGCTAAGCGTGCTATTCTCCATATGTACAATGCTACGTGTCCCTGCTTCCGTGAGGTCGTATTCGGGAACACCCAGGAAAAGACAATCGAGCTCGCGATTAAGCACACCAGGATTGTCCGAAAGCTCACAGAGGAGGCGACCGCGAAGTACGGTACTGTATTCAAATACGAGTACAGCCCTGAAACATTCTCGCAAACCGAACCAGACTTTGCCATAAGAGTTTGCGAGGCGGTCAAAGAAGCTTGGGGGAAAGCAAGTACAGGAGATGAGCGAATTATCTTCAATTTGCCAGCAACAGTGGAGATTGGGCCACCTAATCACTATGCCGATTTGGTATGCTGCATAGTTTCTATGCTGGATTATTGCTCATTCTATTATAGATCGAGAATTTCCATCGAAAAATCACAGAGCGGGAAAAGATTGTGATTAGCTTGCACCCTCACAACGACAGAGGTTAGTTCGTTTATTGTTTTACAGTTCACGGCTGACTGAGGTGGACAACAGGAACTGGAATCGCCGCCGCCGAACTGGGAGTGCTCGCTGGTGCAGATCGTATCGAGGGGTGTTTATTTGGAAATGGCGAACGAACTGGCAACGTGGATCTCGTCAATCTCGCCTTGAACCTGTACACGCAGGGCATACACCCAGGCGTCGACTTCAGCGATATTCAAAGCATCATCGACATCGTCACTCAGTGCAACGATCTCCCAGTTCACCCACGTCATCCCTA